CTTGTCCCAACATGAAAATGGCCATCATGAGGCGACACATGTGATCACTGATCGCTCTTGTTTCAGTTAAGTATATACAAATGTTTATAGTTATCTATAAGTTATAAAAACTATTTTTTGTGTTTGAGGTACTGTGTATCTCATTGTCAAACTAGTATGTGTATATACATGTACGTAATTTATATTCATTGATCAGAAAATGCTATGTATATTACTAAATATACCTATGTACTCATATATGTAATAAAGAAAGTTTCATACGTTCAGGTAACACAATAAGGATACATTCAGAAAGATTGGATATTGTCATGCTACTATGACGTGAAATATGGCAAATTAGGGTCATCATGACCTTGCTACTTTAAGAGATGTTTTTTTGTCTGTTTATGTATATAGTTTCCATAGTATGATTTTGTAAAGCTTACAAAGATAAGTATTTTTGTATTATGTGTTCGTATTTAATATAGCACCCGTTCTCTAAAACCACAATCATATCAGTAATAATACTCTTATATAACAAAGTTGTAAAGATTGTAATAATTACTTATACTTGGTTCATTGGCGTCATCATGGCAGTCTTGTTACTTTTATGATTTTTGTATACATGTATATAGTTTCCTTAATATGATTTTGTATAATTTACAAAGATATGTATTTTTGTATTTTGTGTATGTATTCAATATGGCAAATCATTCCCTCTTATAACACATTTTAGACATTAAAGCCCTTTAAAGTTTAATTTTTGTTTCGAACATTTGAAGTAAATTGCTGTCTTGTGCACACTTTTAGAGTTATTGCCCATTAGGCTTTGTAAATGTCCATATTTCATTTATTGCCGGGACACAACTCGTACACAATTGAATGTATCTACATGAAACATTTTTGGTACTTCTAAATATCGGATTGAGGTACAATGTATTATGTGAAAATTTTGTAGTTATTTACCTTTGTAACAGTTTATACTAAATTATCATGCAGAGCATACCTTTAAAGGCACATTATGCCTCGGAAATTTGCTTTTATACAATTCTTTAGAAATGTCAAACATGTGTTTAATAATGTCTTTATAATGGATTTTGAACATGCTAGGTGTTAACAGCTGGGGAAAGTAGCGCTGAATGTGCAGTTATATGTCCTAAAGTGAACAAAATGTAAACAAAAGTAGTAGTTTTCCTTTCATACAAAATTATAATTCACTACAATTAAACCAATTGCCAACAATAGATGGTTCAAAATGTAACAAGATACTAAAAATAAAGTAAAAAGAAAAGATTTCTGAGGCATAATGGGCCTTTAAGTCTGTATGATGTTTGAACATGAATTATCATTTAATCCTTCTGACATAACAGCATTCAAGGTCATTGCAACTTATTTGCAATAGAAGAGAGGCTGTTGTAAAACTATTTGAAGATTTATATTGACACGTTATGATGAAAATTTATAAAGATTTTTTTTTTAAAGTTGATGAAATGTTGGTTAAAGTCCCATTATACATCAGAAATGCTATAAGTTTATTTCTTATTTTCATCAATCTGATATTTACAATAGATTTGACCTTTTTACAAGTTTTAGAAAATGTTAGAATTAAGATATTACTATTTTACTGTTTTACATATTATTAAGTAAAGGGAGATAAATATGAAAAAGTACATTTTGTTATATATATTATAATCAGTATACTGGCAGTACTGATTCAATTATGATATGTTAACAGTAATCTTTTCTTTTTATAAATTAATGTTCTATACATGTATGTTAATTATATCATAGTTCATATATTTAATAGAAATAAAATTGTGAAACAACATTGATGTTTTAGTTATCATACACAAATATATATGTACGTAAATCAGTTTCGTTCGAAGGAAAACTTTGGGTCTGAAGCTGTATAACACAATTATCCTGGATTATGTACCACCAGTACTGGTTTAGTCCAGGAATAAAGAGAACATACATGATTGATTCTCAATCTTAACAAGTTGAAGTGGTCCTATTGTACAGATGCAAATTGTTGAAAAGCAATTATTAAGGTGGTTTTATTATGAAGGTACAATATATGAACCAGAGTGACAAGGATAAAGACCTTTTGATATGTTGTCTAGAAAGAAAAATAAAAACAAAAAAACAAGCTGGTTGAATTACAAAATTACTAAGATATACAAATCAAATGCTGGCCACTTGATGAAGGTTATAATCTATAATGACACTTCTAGTTAAAACAAAACCTAGCCGCATTATAAGGGTAGTCATTACTGAAACTGAAGTTTTTTTAATACAATTTCCAACTTGTTCCGATGCTATGTGTTCCTCTACATAACAGCAGAGATACATACTGCATAACAAATCAAGGGCCATAACCTTATTAACCCTTTCCCCCATGAGCATATCGTGAAAATGGCCATTTTAACTGAAAAGCCTCCTCTTACAAGTTCAAACTGCTATGAAACTATGAAAAATGCTTCAATACTAATCAAACTTGGCACAAATGTTGACTGGACCATTGCCTTTCTAACGACATGCTCAGTCTTAAATTTCCTGTTACCATGGCAACGAGGGGACATCTCAAAATTGCCAAAAATCACTATTTTGCCTCGATTTTTTCCATCAAAATTTATTTCAAAGTGCTGGAAATTCTCAATGGATTGAGATAGAGTCAAAGGCTTTTCAGCGTTGGTTACACGTTACTTTATGATCAACCTGGGGTCATTTTAAGCCTCTCACAAGTCCAAAATTTTCTTGGCGATGAGGGGGACTCCGCCCCCCTTCAAACCCCCCAAACAGAAGGGGGCACATCCCCCTTCTGGCAACCCCCTGATGTATTATTTGGATGGGGGACGGCGCCGAAAAAATGGTCACTTTTTTTAACAACATTTCTCAAACGAAAAACAGTGTTTGGGGTCTAAATAGGACATTTTTTCACTGTTTGAGGCCTCAAAAAGGGGGGGGGGGCAAAAAGCCGTCGAAAAACACGCTTATATAAGGGAAAAGGTTAATGGTTTCCATAAAGTTTCATTGAATTCCAGCCAGTACTGAAGCATCTGACCAGAACAAGGCAACGATATGCCCATCTCCTCTTAGTGTTGATGGTTCCCATAAAGTTTCGTTGAATTCCTGCAAGTAGTTGCAGAGAACTAGCGTTGAAATGAAATTCGGACAGACAGATGGAAAGCACCTATATAAAAGAACCAAAAAAAGCAATCTAACAATATAGTGGAAGTACTTAATATTTTTTTCAATAGATGCATTGTAATGCTATCGTAATATCCTGGAAACAATATACCAATATACTACAAAATGGCTAGTGTGAATCCATTTTATGCTCTCACGAGTTATTCCCCTTTATTACTTGATATTTACATGTTCTGCTCAAACGATGGTTACTAAATTACAAATATGTTTAATTTACAAAGTGTTCACAACATAAAGAATATTTCACTTAATGATAACAAGATAATGCCATGACTTTGTTATACATCTCGGACAAGTTTAGAATCTGTTTAAATCACTAAATGAATTAACAAAACTGAATTTAATGTAATTGTTGCTTTTTTCAAGACATATTTATAATCCATACAGCCAAACAAAAATGAAGTAAGAAAATAAACAAAGCACAATAACTAAAAAAATCATGGAGTACAGAGTACCGGTTTTTGTGCACTGCACTTCATTTCAAGGAGATCTATCATCCTATGAAGTTTCATGTCCATAGCTTTTAAAGTTTAGGAGAAATGGCTCGGACAAAACTGAAATATGAACATTAACAAAGGCAAATAACTAAAAAAAAAACAACAATGTAGAGTTCCAGTTATTGTGCAATGCAATCCTTCCCATTAAGATCTATCATCCTATAAGGTTTCAAGTCCATAGCTTTTATAGGTTAGGAGACATGGCCCCAAAAAGATAAAGTATGAAAATAAACAAAGGGCAATAACTCAAAAAATAACAAGTGCAGAGTACAAATTTTAAACACTGCACTTTATCTCAATGAGATCTATCATCCTACCTTAGCTTTTTTTGTTTAGGAGAAATGGCCTGGACAAAAAAAAGTATGAAAATTAACAAAGGGCAATAACTCAAAAATTAAAAAGTGCAGAGTAATTATTCTTATCCACTGCACTTCGAGTCATTGAAAGTAGCAGGCTGACGAATTTTGGAGTCAATCAGACTTATTCTCCGCACAAGTCCATGGGGCCGCCGCCGCCGATAATGCCGGCAACAAAAGTAATACCTATATGTCGCCTTTTTCAAGGCACCACAAAGTAGTCAAGACATGCACTTTCATTAAATGAATTTGATACATTTAGAGTATTTATACCATTCATTTTATTATTAGTATATTTAAAATTGAATTAATATGTCCTATAGACTCGAGTTATATCAGCTGACGACCATTAATCTTGTAAGTGGCAATATAAACTGTATTTGAGTTGCGCCATGACAAAACCAACATAATGGGTTTTCGACCGGCATGGATCCAGACCAGCCTGCGCATCCGTGCAGTCTGATCAGGATCCATGCTGTTTCGCTATCAGTTTCTCTACTTGTTATAGGGTTTGTAAGGGAACAGCATGGATCCTGATCAGACTGCGCAGATGCCGGTCTGGATCCATGCTGGTCGCAAACCCATTTTGTTGAATATGTCATGGCGCGGCTCATTTCTATATTGATATGCTACGAGACTGAATAAATACAAACGAAACCTTTGGAACAGTTATATAATTGTCTTAAATTTTTGATAATTTAAACATTGACAGGCAAGGTCAATTAAAGGCCTACGTCATATCAAAAAACTGAAAACTGTTGGTTTTGGAATGTGTGTTCTTTTGTACAGGTATGAATAAAATCTGTGAAAAGATTACACAAGTTATCACAAATAAAACTTTTAGGAAATGTATAAATAAAATGCTAATAACAACAAATGACAGACACATTGCAATAACAAAAGCTTACCTCTCAAAACCAAGTGCTTAAGTGAGCAAAAAATAAATCAAGTCTTGGCATCGTTGTTAGCATTTATTTTTCTTTATTTTCTTTATAATTTAAAAGAAAAAATCTTTCAGTTTGCTTGTTTGTTCATTTAGCACAAGTCTAACTGCTACATATAATAAATTATAATTTAGTTTCCTCCTTCATTATCTTACACTATTACAACTACAAATATATATGTATAAAACAATCATTCATAAGTACACTTACCCTAGTAAACACTATGTTCAAGTTTTAAGTTTTTATATCATAAACTAAATGTTTAACCATTGCATTAATTTATTCAAGAAAATGCATAGTATAAAAATAAAAACATTTAACTTTTACGTCAGATACTTCTTAAAAAATATAGTTCCAACTGATTTTACCTATGAAATACATTATGGAAAGAACATTCTAGTATCAAAGGTACATATGACATTACTTTTGTCACAGAGGCACTGAAACAATTTCCAGGTCTTCATTTTGTCTGTAATAGAGATGTGTAGATCATCATGTGATAGTAATGCTGACATTGACATGCATCAGTTATCAAAGAATAGTAAAATGTTGTTTTTTTCCTCAAAAATTGGAGGAATAACACTTTTTTTTTTTTAAATATAAGACATTATGGCCTATTGTCAATTTCTTTATGCGTATAAAAATATAAGACGAAGAGGTCACTCTTGACATACAGAACTGATTGTGAAGTCTTACATTAATAGGAATTGATGATGTTGAAGGAAGAGATTATTGGTCTACAGAAGACCACATTACAGAGGTTACACCTTTAATTGTTTGTCCGAAAAATAAAACAAAACCATTGTCTAAGATCAAAATATGAAAGGTTTACTATTTAATTTAGGTATTTTTATAGGACTATATTGACAAAAGGTCACTTGTGAGGTTCTCTCAGTCACTAAACATTTACAAATCGTTCAATACTTCAACTACATATACAAAATAAATAAAAAAAAGAAATATATAAATATACATGCTGGCATAACTATAAAAAGAGCATTTCACTAACAAACCTAAGAGTATATGACTAAACAAACAAAACTGCTTCCAAAAAACAAGTAATACAGTAAAATCAGAAAAAAATTGAAATGCAAAAAAACCCTCTTATCATGTTTTTAGCATTAAATATTGAAATGTGCATGTGTGAACTGTAAGCTACATTTAACAATGTATCTCAGGTATTTCATTATTCTATCTTTTCTAATCATGGTAATTTATCTGTTTACTGTATATACTTGGCAATTTAAAGTAGACCCTCAGCTGCCCTTCTGTGCATTAGTGCACAAGTGAGCATGTCCAATCATCCATTAGTTTTAGACAAGACTGGACAGTTAATGGCTTAAACAAACAATCTAAATTTCACAGTATATCAATACAAAACAAATATCACAGATCTATGAAAAAAAATCCCTGCAACTAGTTAATAAAATACAATCTTTACTCAATGTTCAAACTGAGCACTTTCATTTTAAATAAAATCAACGACTTTCAAAAGTTACCAACAAGAGTATGAAAATGCAAGGGTATCACAATTTCTTAAAGTTTATATAACTTCCATTCTTTACAGACTGGACTTCAGGCTTTGACCTTCATGTTACAGGTACTGTTAGACCTTCATGAAGTCTTTTTTCATTATTCAAACAATAAATATATCTAAATTGTCAAAATAAACTAACACTGATACATGAGCAATATCATCTAATTAAAGGATGAGTGTATTATTTTAATAGAGTAGAAAAAAATAAATAAAATCCCTTATATTTCAAATGCAAAAAGGTTATGAAACAAATTCTCTAGACCATAATGCCATTTTAGCTCTACTTCATGATTCTCTGTTCTCAATTCAAACCCCAGAATATAAAATTCATGTGCAAGCTCTAATATACTCAGATCACTCATTTAACTGTAACTGCAGATGAATAAGCATCTGCATCACTCAGATCAGAAAAAAAAGCATCTGCATGAAATCAGATCACAAAATCTTTTACATAATCCAGATCAAATAGCTGCCTATGTCTGCTGCTGCAAACTTTGCTTCTTGCGAAAGATTTTGTTCATTGTCTGAACAGTATCTGTCAATAAATCATTAAATATTGTTTCAGTTAGTTGCATTTTCACTGCTAATTCATCGTCATCATAATTAACCCACTCAGGCTCTTCTTCACGCAATTCTTGCACCAAAATTGTGTCAACAAGATCCTTCTTTTTACGAATACCCCATTTAGTCTTTTCCGACGACTTTTTGGCCCCATTTAAACCTAATATGTCAATGACTGCTTCCTGAACCACAGGTTTTAGCACATCTATAGTAGTAGGAGGGGAAGCACCTTTATAAAATTTGTTAGTTTTTCGTTTTGGTTTGTGCCAAGCAACAGGAGAATCATATTCTTCCTCTTTATAAATGTTTCTAATAATTTCTCCAGATAAATCAAATAATAGTTTCTTGAACACACGTCTACTGTTACTTATCAAATCTGAGCCAATCTCTTCATGTGTATAAAATGCTTCTGAAGGGTGGAGATCGGTTAATGGCTCGCCATACCGTCTTTGTTCCCAGAATTCATCTACAGCACTGGAAACTATAGAGTCTATTTCTTTCTCCTCATGGGGCACAGCGTAAAACACCTCCTCTGCAAACTTCTTCAGGTCTGATCTTGGAACATTTGATCGTAGATCTAAAAGATTAAAAGCAATTTAAAGCTTTAAGGCTAGTATAAACATGGTCAAATAAATGGAGGAAAAACTGTAACCTCACAGGTATACCAAAGATACTTAAAATTAATGTATGTCTTTAAAACTTCAATTTACAAATTAAATATCAAAGTTTAACCTGAATGCTAATAGACATAACAGGAGTAAAGAAAAGATTTGAAAAAAAAAAAAGATTTATAATAATTGACAGAAAGAGAATACAGAAATGCAAAAGTGCTCAATATACAATGTTATTCCACAAGTGATTTATTTCACACCAAGATTTTACATTAGGCCTTCAGGAAAAATGTCTTCATTGTAACCTATTTAACATATGACAATACCTTTCAATACCAGAATGAAGCAACCAAAAATATTAATACAGAAAAATGTAATACAAGCTACTGGTACATAGTAACCATCAGACTTTATACTGGCAATATTATGCCATATAGTCATTATGCCTTATGTAGGGTTGTGCAATATACTGGATATCACAATATTTTATCTGGCATAATTATATCACAATGTTTCTTTCACATATTCCAATATATTGGAGCTATGAAATTTCAATAATAAAAAAATCTATGAAATTTAGGCGTATTCTCAACTTTCAAATGGCATTTGCTTAAGGTTGTTTTAACTTCCTTATTTACAATGCCACTTTTAAAACAGTGAGAAATCTCATGTACCATTTATCGGGACATATTAAACTATAAACCCTTTAGCCAAGATTCCATAGGTCTAACCTTTGATTTCTTAAGCATGTTAGATGCATCAGAAAGGCAAAACTCGACAAATAATACGTGTATATGATTTATCAACTCACCGTTTTCAGCACCGGTGAAGTTCGTTGATGATTTATTTGATGGCACCCAAAACTCTTCTTCAAAATCTCCCTCAAACAAACCACTATCTGTCACAGGCTTATGACTCTCCTGAAATTATACAAGATCATAGTAAACATCTGAAAATATATTTAGATTGAGTTTTAAGTCATATCAGCATGTATTATTTAAGACAGGTGTATCGACATGTATTATTTAAGACAGGTGTATCAGCATGTATTATTTAAGACAGGTGTATCAGCATGTATTATTTAAGACAGGTGTCTCAGCATGTATTATTTAAGACAGGTGTCTCAGCATGTATTATTTAAGACAGGTGTATCAGCATGTATTATTTAAGACAGGTGTATCAGCATGTATTACTTAAGACAGGTGTCTCAGCATGTATTATTTAAGACAGGTGTATCAGCATGTATTATTTAAGACAGGTGTATCAGCATGTATTATTTAAGACAGGTGTATCAGCATGTATTATTTAAGACAGGTGTATCAGCATGTATTATTTAAGACAGGTGTATCAGCATGTATTACTTAAGACAGGTGTCTCAGCATGTATTATTTAAGACAGGTGTCTCAGCATGTATTATTTAAGACAGGTGTCTCAGCATGTATTATTTAAGACAGGTGTATCAGCATGTATTATTTAAGACAGGTGTATCAGCATGTATTATTTAAGACAGGTGTCTCAGCATGTATTATTTAAGACAGGTGTCTCAGCATGTATTATTTAAGACAGGTGTATCAGCATGTATTACTTAAGACAGGTGTATCAGCATGTATTATTTAAGACAGGTGTATCAAGCATGTATTATTTAAGACAGGTGTATCAGCATGTATTATTTAAGACAGGTGTATCAGCATGTATTACTTCAGCATGTATTACTTAAAAGACAGGTGTATCAGCATGTATTATTTAAGACAGGTGTATCAGCATGTATTATTTAAGACAGGTGTATCAGCATGTATTACTTCAGCATGTATTACTTAAAAGACAGGTGTATCAGCATGTATTATTTAAGACAGGTGTATCAGCATGTATTATTTAAGACAGGTGTATCAGCATGTATTACTTAAGACAGGTGTATCAGCATGTATTATTTAAGACAGGTGTATCAGCATGTATTATTTAAGACAGGTGTATCAGCATGTATTATTTAAGACAGGTGTCTCAGCATGTATTATTTAAGACAGGTGTATCAGCATGTATTATTTAAGACAGGTGTATCAGCATGTATTATTTAAGACAGGTGTATCAGCATGTATTATTTAAGACAGGTGTATCAGCATGTATTATTTAAGACAGGTGTATCAGCATGTATTATTTAAGACAGAAGCTGACACCCAAGTAGCACCATCAACCTTCTTCCTGTATAACTACCTCACATTAAAGACTGAAGCCGCTTTTGTAGCTCTAAGGGTCAAGTTCAAAATCAGCCATCTTAACGACTCATTATCCAAGTACCCTTATATTTTTCATATCAAAAAGTACAAACAAAAAATATTATTGGACCACAACAGCCCAGTTTTGGAAGTGAATTGGTCTTTTAAATAAATAAATAATAAATAAATAACTAAAACCACTTTTTGTTTATCATTGTTTCCAGATTAAAAGGACATTACTACTATCATCAGTTTTCACTTATTTAGTTCTTTACAGTATATTATATACAGCATTACTCTGTATTTTTGACATACAAACATGTTTACATCCTTGTCAGCGGTTCAACATTATTTGAAGATATATTGTAAATCTTTTTACAAGGACAACATTTAGGTTACTTGTCAAATTCTAAGCAGAGGATAAAACATTCTTTCACACAATAGTGGACACATTTGTAAAACCTTCAATCTTTCATAAGGTTAGCCTGGTGTTTAAAGTTTATAAACATTAACTACACACAACAAATGAATAAAAATTTCACATGACATGAGTACCTTATCAGATTGTAGGCCAGGCACAGGTGAGCCTGGTCTGAGTGGAGCATCCAGGTGCATATCATCATCTGCTTTGTCTAGTACGCCCTGAATTTCATCGGTAGGTGAAGGGGGACTCTCATTCTGATCCTCGTCAACTTCTAAGATACCACTGTCTCGAGATTGGTTCACATCTTGTGACTGGCGGTTATTTTTTCTAATGGTTAGCATGTGCTCAATGGCATCATTCATCATATTGTTGACAGCAACGTCTGTGCGGTCATCAATTGATGGCTCATTTCTCTCTGCAGGAAATTCATCTGGACCTTGTTCAGAGTTGGAATGCTGAAGGAAATCTTCCAGGTCATCAATGTCTCCATTGGTCTGTACTTCTTCAATATGATGAGGCTTTGCCGGTTTAGGTGCCACTGGAGGACCTTTCTTCTTTGTTGTTTGTTTTTTATCTGCAATTTTACTTATTGTGTTAACATTTTCTCTAACAACTGACTCAAACAGGTCATTTGTAATTTTATCTGCTAAAATTTCCTTCCTGGATTTTGTCTCAGGTTTAAGTTCCTTGTCTGCCTCTCTTGGTGATTCCTGAGGAGATTCATCAAACATCTGAACATTTTCATCAGCCTCAGCAATAAATCTAAGTAAGTCACCATCTTCAGTATTAACACTCTGTACACTTTCTATACTGGTTCTTACATCTACATTATCCAGTAAAGGCCCTTTCTCTTCTTCATCCCCTGGAGTTGCTTGCACATCATGAGCTGGAACAATAACACCATGTTTTTCTCTGCATGTGAAATACCTCACACCATCTTCAATTCCATTATGCCTTCCCTCTGGATGGTCCAATTCCACACCTGCCCAAACACCAGGTGCAAATTGTACATTTCCCTTAAAAAGCAATGTTCCTGACACTTTCTTTCCACTAGGCCCAGTTACATAAACTCCATCTCCTATTTCAAAATCAGCAAGAGGGGTAAAAAAGTCACTTTTTTCACTTAAACTCTCATGTTTCGATATTTCTCTTGGAGTAGCTGTAGGGGATGCTACAGGAGTATCCTCATTATCTGTTCCAAGCAAATCATCAATATCAAATACATTTGAAATCAGGCCAGAGCCTGGCTTCTTCTTTGAAGATGGTTCACTAACTTCATCATTAAATTTTGGCACTTTGTCTTCCGTCTGAATTACAGGAGACTTCTCTGATTCGGAAGACTCGTGTTCAGTCTGATATGAAATCACTGAAGATCGCTCACTCCTACCACTAGAGGGTCTCGATGACTCGACAACTGATGACCTCTGAGAAATATCCCCTTCACTATCATTATCCTTCTCCTTACCAAATACATCAGTATCTTTCCCTTGAGTCTTTAAATCTAGTTGTTTAATAAATGACTCTGAAGGCAGATTCTCAGAAATTTGTTCAGATATTTGTTCTGATATTTGTTCAGTAATAGATCTAGCAGACTGAGGTACTGTTTTTGTTTCTATATCTTCAGACATCTGGCTAACTGATCTGGCACTTAGTGGCAGTTTCTCATGATGGGTCATAGTGTTTGGCTCAGTAGCAAAGTCATCAGTGTATGACACTGACACATCATAAATATCTTCTTTAGTACTGAGATTGATTTTAATTTCCTTAGACTTGTCATCTGAAGCTTCTGAGGCAGCAGAGATAATGTCCTCTTCGATCTCGTCAGTTTTATCGTCAACAGCTGACGAGATCTCTCCACTAAATTTATCTTTAATGCTCTGAATACGCTCCTGGTATGAAAGATCAGATCTCTCTGAACGTGATGTGGGTGTTTCGCTACCCTCGGAAATCTTGTCTAAATGGGATTTGGCTGTCTTGCTTGGGGTCACAGGGGTTTTTGGTGACATTTGCTTCTGGTCTGCAATAGATATACAGTCATATTAAGACATAGGACAACAATAGAAGCACAAATATTTCATTAATTATTAAATAGTGATAAAATGCTGTCTTCAGAGTAAAATGTTAACATGAAATTAAAGAGCACCTTAAATATCTAAGTGTTTTTTTTTTTAAACCAGCGAAAGCTGTCGTGACCTGAAACAAATCAAACAAACAAAAAATTTTACTAGAAATAGTCCATCAGATAATTAGAACATATGATTCATTTCAACAAAGTAAAACAATGGAGAAATATGCAGTAACACAGTATATAATAGAAATTACTGAACTCTGTCTTGTTAGCCTAGACATTTCTCCTATTTTGGGATTAAAAGCATGTTATACTTCCAGTCATTGTACCAAACTTTGGTGCATATGTACTTAAACTTAACAGGAAGTAGACTTGTTTCGATACTGTACCGACAGCAATGTTTTACTCTTGAACTGTAAAAAGTCATCTTTTTTGTTCAACCCTTAACCTGGTGGAAGGTAAAGTTTTTGTTTGTTTAATTGGGTTTTACGTCACAGTGACACATTATAGGTCTTATGGCGACACTCCAGCTTCCAGTGGAGGAAGACCTCAGATGCCATTCCATAAACTATTTCAGGCATGAACGGGAACCCGAGTAGAACCACCAACGTTCTATGAGCTAGCTGGATAGCTTCCACACATGAAAGAATCCAAAGTCACTGTCGGGATCCGAAAACACAGCGGTGAGGGGCAAGTGGTTTGAAGTCAACGACCTTAACCATTCCACCATGGATGCCCCTGGAAGCTAGAGTGATGAGACTTTGCCACCAGTATAGAGCCAGGCATGCGTGCAAACCCATGCAGTCTGAAAAGGTATTATACTGCTGGTAGCTCAATTTTTGTGTTTTGTTATTGAAATCCCTTAAACTTCAAATGGACTGCTGATCAAGTCAAAGCCAGTTATTTCATTATTCAGCGTAAAAAAAATGGGGATAATTTGCATTTACCTTTATTTTCAGGAATGTTTGGTGACACTTGAGCAGAGTCTGGTCCACTACTGTCAGTATCTAAACGTTTTGTGGGTGTTTTGATCGTCTTTGACGGGCTCACTTTGGGCTGTTTAATCTGTGGGCAGACAGTAGATTTTGCAGGCTCATGATTCATCTCCTTTTTGAGGTCAACTTTTAGCTGAGCAATCTGGTTGTCATATGCCTAAAATATAACATTAACAAAATATGCATTTTCAACTATCAAGTTTTACAAATTCTTTGAGACTGAAATTAAATTTGCAGAAACAATTATTAATACTAAAATCTGACGATTGTAAAATCCTAGTTTTTTCCAAATGATTTGTTTGTTTTTCTGGTTTTAACACTGATTTCTACACACTTTTTTAGGTTATATTTTGGCATTCAATCCACATAACCAGCTTTCTTGTATAACTAACCAGAAAACAATTTTCTAAAAGTGATTACTATTTAATTTAACCCATGAAATATGATGCTATATCAGTCAAATATATTTCATATTTTTTAAAAATAACTAGAACTATCACTAAATGTGATTAATACCCCCACAAGACTGCTTCGGAAATGAGGATGTTACTAGTAACAGAATACCTTGTAAAAGAATTGAAATATAGAGTTATGGTTGTGGGCAATTAAAGATAATTGTGGTTCTTATATGTTGCATTTCCTTTCAATGTGGTTGGCCAATGATGAAGTTTAATTGAATTACTCTGTAATAAGTCCAGAAAGACAAAGAAAAGGAACAAAGGGCAAAAACTCTATAAATACTGAAGATGGAGTTATAGTTCTTGTGCACTGCACTTCCTCTTATTGTGCTTGACCATTGTATGAAGTTGTTTTGAATTCCAACCAGTATGTTTTAAGTTATGCTCCTGACAAGGAAAAGCATCAAAGGGCAGTAACTCTGTATTTTGTCAAAATGGAGTTATGGCTCTTGTGCACTGCACTTCCTTTTAATGTCCTTGACAACTGTATGAAGTTGTATTGAATTCCAAACAGTAGTTTTCAAGTTATGCTCTGGACAAGGAAAAGAAACAAAGGGCAATAACTCTGTAATTAGTCAAGATGGAGTTATGGTTCTTGAGCACTGCACTTTCTCTCAATGTGCTTGACCATGGTATGAAGTTATATTGAATTCCAACCATAAGTCTTCAAGTTATGGTCCGGACAAAAAAGGCAATGGAAAAGCAACAAAGGGCAATAACTCTGTAATTACTTTAGATAGAGTTATGGTTCTTGTGCACTGCACTTCCCCTTATTGTGTTTGACAATTGTATGAAGTTGTTTTGAATTCCAACCAGTAGTTTTCAAGTTATGCCCCGGACAAGGAAAAGTAACAAAGGGCAATAACTCTGTAATTAGTCAAGAAAGAGTTATGGTTCTTATGCACTGCACTTCCTCTCAGTGTGCTTGACCATTGTATGCAGTTATATTGAATTCCAACCATAAGTCTTCAAGTTATGGTCCGGACAAAAAAATCAATGGAAAAGTAACAAAGGGCAATAACTCTGTAATTACTTTAGATAGATTTATGGTTCCTGTGCACTGCACTTCCCCTTATTGTGTTTGACAATTGTATGAAGTTGTTTTGAATTCTAACCAGTAGTTTTCAAGTTATGGTCCGGACAAGGAAAAAAGCAATGGAAAAGCAACAAAGGGCAATAACTCTGTAATTACTTAAGATAGAGTTATGGTTCTTGTGCACTGCACTTCCCCTTATTGTGTTTGACAATTGTATGAAGTTGTTTTGAATTCCAACCAGTAGTTTTCAAGTTATGCCCCGGACAAGGAAAAGTAACAAAGGGCAATAACTCTGTAATTAGTCAAGATAAAGTTATGGTTCTTGTGCACTGCACTTCCTCTCAATGTGCTTGACCATTGTATGTAGTTATATTGAATTCCAACCATTAGTCTTCAAGTTATGCTCCGGACAAGGAAAATGCAACGGACGTCTGGACCGACCGCCCGACCAACCGACCGACCGACCACCGGGTGACTCCTATATACCCCCCCAAACTTCGTTTTTGGGGGTATAAATATGAAATATAAATATGAAAGTGGGTGGAGTCAAAACTCAGATTTATCTTAAGAGACTTCTTTCGCCATTTTATTTGAAAAATCTGATAAATATAAAACAACTTTTTGTTGAATTTTGAAAACTATCTAGAATGATAGAAAATTATTTAACTAAGAAAATAAATCCGAACACCAATATCTTGAATTCAGTCATTAATGCTGTACAGACGTTTAAAGAGTTGTGTACATGAACAATGTAGCGCTAAATATCGCGTGCAAAACAAGACAATAATTATATTACTGCTCGCTGTACAATTGAAATTGCGTTGCAAGCAGGGGTGTTCGTAACCATTTTTCTTTGGTAATGAAATTAAATAAAAAGGTTATTTTTACGTTTTTTGTGAAATATGGTATATATTTTCACTCAACACTCCCGGCTCGTGAAAATATGTGTCATTTTATGTTTCGTGAAAATATATTCAATATTTCACTCAAAAGAAAAAATATCCTCGTAATATTTGCTGCCTGTGGATTGTAAAATATTGTTTATATTGGGATAAAGTGATTCCAGAATACTTTGAATGGAAGAAATTGTTAGCATGTTTTATTGAAAGTGAGTCAACATGTTAAGTTATATTGTCATCGGCAAACCTAATAAAACAAGAGGGCCATAATGGCCCTGAGGTCGCTCACCTGTATATAGGCCCCCCACCCCCGGCCAATTTTTACCCAAGGGCTTTTATTTGTTTATTTGAACAGACTTGGTAGACACCCATAAGAAGATGTTTCATGCTAAACATCTAAGTTCTAGCTCATTGGCATTTTTAAAAGAAGATTTTTAAAAGTTTTTACTATACACATATAGTTAAAAACAATGTCACCCCTGGGGCAGGACCAGTTTTGACCCCCAGGCGTTTATTTTAACAAACTTTGTAGATATTTACTTAAAGATGTTTCATGCTTAATATCTAAACTCTAGCTATTTGGGTTTTTCCAAAGAAGATTTTTAAGTTTTTGCTATACACATATAAGGAAAATCAATGACCCCCCCAGGCGGGGCCAGTTTTGACCCCAGGGCTTTTATTTGAACATACTTGGTAGACACCCATTAGAACATGTTTCATGCTAAATATCTTAGCTCTAGCTCTTTGAGTTCTTTAAAAGAAGATTTTTAAGTTTTTACTATATGCATATAGGGAAAATCAATGACCCCCTGGGGCGGGGCCAATTTTGACCCCAGAGCTTTTATTTGAACAAACTTGGTAGACACTCATTAGAAGATGTTTCATGCTAAATATCTTAGCTCTAGCTCTTTGGGTTCTTTAAAAGAAGATTTTTTAAGTTTTTACTACATGCATATAGGGAAAATCTATGACCCCCTGGGGCAGGGTCAATTTTGACCCCAGGGCTTTTATTTGAAAAAACTTGGTAGACATTCACTAGAAGATGTTTCATGCCAAATATCTAAGCTCTAGCTCTTATGGTTCTTTAAAAGAAGATTTTTTAAGTTTTTACCATATGCATATAGGGAAAACCAATGACCCCCGGGGCGGAGCCAATTTTGACCCCAGGGCTTTAATTTGAACAAACTTGGTAGACACTCACTAGAAGATGTTTCATGCTTAATATCTTAGCTCTAGCTCTTTGGGTTCTTTAAAAGAAATTTTTTTAAGTTTTTACTATATGCATATAGGGAAAATCTATGACCCCCTGGGGCGGGGTCAATTTTGACCCCAGGGCTTTTATTTGAACAAACTTGGTAGACATTCACTAGAAGATGTTTCATGCCAAATATCTAAGCTCTAGCTCTTATGGTTCTTTAAAAGAAGATTTTTAAGTTTTTACTATATGCATATAGGGAAAATCAATGACCCCCGGGGCGGGGCCAATTTTGACCCCAGGGCTTTAATTTGAACAAACTTGGTAGACACTCACTAGAAGATGTTTCATGCTTAATATCTTAGCTCTAGCTCTTTGGGTTCTTTAAAAAGAAGATTTTTTAAGTTTTTTACTATATGCATATAGGGAAAATCAATGACCCCCTGGGTCGGGGCCAATTTTGACCCCAGGGCTTTTATTTGAACAAACTTGCTAGACATTCACTAGAAGATGTTTCATGCCAAATATCTAAGCTCTAGCTCTTACGGTTCTTTAAAAGAAGATTTTTTAAGTTTTTACTATATGCATATATAGGGAAAATCAATGACCCCCAGGGGCGGGGCCAATTTTGACCCCAGGGCTTTTATTTGAACAAACTTGGTAGACACTCACTAGAAGATGTTTCATGCCAAATATCTAAGCTCTAGCTCTTATGTTTTTTTAAAAGAAGATATTTAAAGTTTTTTCTTTTGGTTGCCATGGCAACCAGAGTTCTGCATGGAATTAAATTCTTTGAACAATTTTTA